GAAGAAGCGAGAGGAAGAAGCGAGAGGAAGAAGCGAGAGGAAGAAGCGAGAGGAAGAAGCGAGAGGAAGAAGCGAGAGGAAGAAGCGAGAGGAAGAAGCGAGAGGAAGAAGCGAGATGAAGAAGCGAGATGAAAGAATGCAGGTAGAGAGGGGGATAGAAGAAGAAGGGAAAGAGGTAAAAAAGGAAGCGAAGCTACTCCCCTGAATGATCTTCATACTTCAAATTCAGATCAATCAAAACTTGACTCAGATATAGCTCACTAGGGACATCATTGTATGATTATTCAACAGACCATTCTCGGCCCTATGTGTGAATAGCTTCTCAAAAGGATTTTCTAACAGATTTCTTCATTCCAAGCGCAGCACATTTTTAACTACAAATTGAAGTCTGTCAACTGAGGGGGTTTTAATTACAAAATTTGGATATCAGGCGAATGAAAATCTGCTCAGTCTCCCGTATACTTTCCACGTCAACCCATTCTTCTTTGGCATGCAGACCCTGGCCCGCGGGGCCGATGACAATTGTGGGAGTGCCCGCGGCGCTAAGAAGCGCTGCATCGCACCAGATAGCCATGCTCTCAATCGAGACGTCAGTGGCATAAACTTCTCGCGCAATCTCTGCTGTTTGTTGAACCAATGAATGTTCCACTGGGAGCTTGTGGGACGGTCGGGACAGGGTCAATCGGGGCTCGGCAAAGCGGAACGTAGGTTTGACTTTGGCAATTTCATTCAACATGTTATTGAGATCGGATCGAAGTGACTCATCAGTCTGCACAGGGATCGTTCGGAACTCAACCGTCACAGTGCACTTTGCGGGATACGATGAAGGCTCTTCGCCGCCGTTGATCAGACTGCAATGCAAGGATGCACGCCCGATCATATCATCGGATGGAAGTCTGCTTTGGTACTCTTCCAATGCAGCCAGGAACCAACCAGCCTGCAGAATCGAATCGACACCCGAGGCCGGATCAGAACCATGAGCAGCCGTTCCCAGAATGTCGATTTCGAACCAGACAAACCCTTTGTGGGCAGTGATGAGGACGCGATTTGTAGGCTCGGGGATGACACAACCATCCGCGCGCCATCCAGCGGCAATCAGATCTTGGGTTCCTTGAGACGCATCTTCCTCATCGGAAACGGCCGTGAAAATGACATCGCCGCGAATAGGGACGTTATTGGCCTTGATATATGCAAGGGCTGCCATCTCAGCAGCGAGACCGGACTTCATGTCCAATGCACCTCTACCAAAAATAGCGGGGCGGCCGTTCTTTTGCCCAAGGTGTCCAGAAAGAGGCTCACACTCATAGCTGTTCAAGCTGACTGTGTCGATATGTCCGTTCAGCATCAGCGACTTGCCTCCGCCCGACCCTCTGAGAACACCGACAACGGAGGGCCGACCGGCGACAGTTTCGATCTTGTGGGTCTCGATTTTGCGATATTCAAGCCATTTGATCAGGTATTCGGCAATTCGTGCCTCCCCGGCACCTGGGGTAGTCGACAACGTGACATTGGAAGAATCGATTCTTGTCAGGATTTGGGTCAGACCCACAGAGTCCTCGACTGTCAAGTCAAATTCATGCGATTGAGCCATTGTGAAAGATATTTCGTGGGATTAATTATACTTGAGTTGGCGATTGCGCGTGTTTTATAGTCGCGGTGAGCGCCTTCCGTCAACAAGCGCCGTCCGTGAACAACCTTGGCACGGCGGGGCGGCTTTATGCGCGCCCCGCCACCTATTACAGCTGTGGATGTAAATATTTTTTTATATTACGACATGCCTCGAATAATGAATCCCAATCTATTGAAAATCTAGGTAAAGTATCCTGTAGGGATTTTCTATTTCTTCAGACCCTCAATAACACCCCTCGAAAGCTGACCCCCAGGAAGAAGCATCCCATCCCGATCAATGAGCGCCCGCGCTCGAATGTGAGGGTCCAACTTCCAGTAGTTCACTCGGAACTCTTCCACAACAGCATTGCGTCTAGATTTGATTTCTTCCACCTTCGACGCCTCTTCATTCGAGGTAGTCGCCGATATCCAGGCCGCTGTGGCGCCAAGCAGCCGTGTGGCGATCATAGTGCGCTCGACCATGAGTGAGTCTCGAGTCTCGGTGTCTTGCATCGCCGCGTTCTCGTTCTCAACCGGCTCGATATATTTATAGTTCCAGTCTTCATCGCCTTTCAGCTCTTTGGGGATTTGGTTCCGGGGAATATATTTGTCGAGGTCGGCGACAGACTTCGTGAATTGAATCTTTGAGGCGACGACGGGATCTAACCATCCTTGGATCAATCGCCAGATTCCTGGAAGGTTAGTTCGTGGCTCGCGTTGATTGCGTTATGTTGACTCACCTGAAAATACCCATGGGGCGTTGTGGATGAGAAGAAGACCAAGCGACTCTGGATAATTTGCTTCAAAGCACTTGATGATGAATTTTACAGGGCCGTATTCCTGTCGAAGAGTCAGCGTGGTCCCGTATCACAAAAACATCGCGAAGGTTCTTACCATATTCGACAATCCAAACCCTGTCATGTCAAACACAATTGTCTACAGGAACGTCAGCGCCGGTATACATTTGGAGTCAAAGTAACATACACCCGTTTCAACTGGAGGGGCAATGATTAATCGCGTCGACTCGATAACATGGACGATATAACGCTCAATAGTTTCCTCGCTCTGGTCACCAGGCTTGTGGATCTTGACGCGAACATAATTCACTGGGCGGCCCTCCCGATCAAACCCATGCAGGAAGCTCTTGCCCATCTTGAGCTGATTGATGAAGTCGGTTCCCTCTTTCTTCTCTTTCACCGATGCACCCTGGCCCCGGGACATTTCAAGCGCGTACGCCTCTCCGCGAGGCAGAATCTCGTCATCAACTTCCATTTCTTTCCGCCACAGGATAGTGGACGCCATCATGGAAAACGCTTTGCCGACGTCCCACTTCCTAGCGCGCAGGAAGCGAAGCAACAAGCTATCTGGGTGCTCCTGCTTCACCATCTTCAAGACATAGAAACACATCTGTTTAGGTGTCATCTGCGACAGGATGCTTTCCATGGATTTGATCTCGGCATCCTGGACCCCGAGCTTGCGGAGCTCAGCAAGGAGTGAAGCGAAGTGTTCGGGCGCGACCTTTTGGTTTGACTTGTCGGATGTTAGAGCTGCCTTGGCGGCCTTGGCCTCTGGGGCTTCTCCATTGGTTTCACCATTGGTGTGGCCGTTGGCATCTCCATTTGTCTCCGTGGATGTCCCGTTCGACTCTTGTATAGTGATTCCCTTCAATGCAGAAGTGATCGCATCCACTGTTGGTTCATTGATCTTGTCCAGAATCTCAAATATCTTACTCGGAGGACCGTCGGGAATGGTGACCTCATAGACTGCGGACAAGACCGACGCGACAGATGTGAAGATAATAGCCCAGAAGTCGCGCAATTTCGCCTCTTGGTCGGAAGTAAGGTGGCCCAGGTGCCCGGACAGCTTAGGATCGGGAGCCATGATGCAGTTTTGGTGTTGAAAATTGATTGAGAGCCGAAAAGCACAGTGGAAAGGCGCCCTTATTGAATGCGGAGGGATACCCACATGAACGGACCAACCTCGGCCCTCAGATTCCCATGTCACATCCTCAAAAATTGACACCTCGGCGGGGTCTCAAATGTTTGCGCAGGACCCTCTTCTCTTTTCTGTGTTCAGGTACGAAAATTAATCTGGCCAGCAGACAGTTTCCTGGAGAGGGCAGCGCCGATCCCCGCTTTGCGGAGATGATCGTCTCTCCAAAATTGTGCCCTTTCAAGTTTCAAGTTTGAGTGGTTTCACGTCCAAGGTAGTATTTTCGACCTGCATGGTGATTTCGACAGGCTTACTTCGTACTTCGTATGATGTGACTGATTTCATCGATCATCGACATGGTCAATTGAGATCTGAATTGAACATGCTCCATGCAAAGTACCGAGGTCAATTAGTAGGCTCGCAATTGCGCGTGTCTCGTATTCAGATTTTGAGAGTGACATCCTTCAAAGTCTATCTTTCTCGAGCGGCTTGTTCAAGCGACAGCTTGTTGATTTCTGGGCATGAGCCTAGTGTGGGATTTCCAAGAGAAAGGGATTGGAACCCGCAACTGTCACGAATGCGTTAAAAGTATTCCAAATCACCTGCTGGTCGAATGACCCATGCTTAACGAGAGTCGCTGGTGAGGCCTAATTAATGCAGGTAAGATTGGACTGTTGAAAAATGCGATGACCATTTTAGGGATGGGAATAACTTCGTTTCGCGACAAGCAAAAGAATGAGAAAAAAAAGGGGCTTGTGGGCAAGGGGTGGAGCGAGGTAACAATTTCAAGCAGCAACCAAATCTTGGATTAAATGTGGCCCATTCACGGATTTGAGAGAGCCTTTCGCTACGGCTAAGATTCAGCGACTGAACTGATTTTGATTTTGATTTCGACAGTGAATCGCCCAGGCTGCTCCTTGAACTCTGTGCATCATCGCACTGGCATGCTCACACCATGTAGCCGACTTGTCGGGCTTGGCATCGCCGGCTATAGATCGGCATTGCGACCGATGTCTTCCCCGCGCTGTATAGGGAGAACATGTTCAAATGTTCATAAAACTCCTGATGCGCTGCGATTCGTGATATTGGGAAATTGAGTAAAACTATATCTGTTTGGTCGTATGAATCATTCAACACCAATGAAACTTCTCTCTTATGTCTCTCGGCCATTTGGCCGATCAGCCTCCCTCCAACCTCTAAGGGCGTTGAGCGGTCCATCACGTCTTTCTTCGACCAAGTCCACTGGCGCAAGTCGGCCTCTTCCACTTGCTGGCGTTACGGTCGTTAGTCTGGAACAAGCCATCGCCGCACCATTCTGTACTCGACAACTGGCCGATCTAGGGGCGCGAGTCATCAAAATCGAACGACCAGGTGTTGGTGACTTTGCTCGACAGTATGATAACCGAGTCGATGGACTCGCGTCCCACTTTGTATGGACGAACCGCTCCAAGGAGAGTCTCGCGCTGGACCTCAAACAACAAAAGGACCACGCCGTTCTCATGAAACTTCTTGAAAAAGCCGACGTTCTCGTTCAAAATCTTGCACCAGGAGCCAGTGCACGATTGGGGCTGTCTCATGATTCAATAAAAGCGAGGCATCCCGGTCTTATTGTATGTGATATCTCAGGATATGGACAAGACGGCCCATACCGCGACAAGAAAGCCTACGATCTTCTCATCCAGAGCGAAGCGGGCATGCTCTCAGTCACAGGCACCGGCAAGGAACCGGTGAAGGTGGGAATTTCCATCGCCGACATTTCGGCTGGAATGTACGCCTACAGCAACATCTTATCAGCCCTGCTGCAGCGCGGAAAAGACGGTCAGGGATGTCAGATTGACATTTCCATGCTGGAATGCATGGTCGAATGGATGGGTTTCCCGATGTACTACGCTTTCAACAATGCCCCTGGTCCAGTCCCGGCAGGTGCCTCGCACGCAGCCATCTACCCATATGGACCGTTCGAAACAGGAGATCAACAGTCCGTCATGCTGGGCATACAGAATGAGCGGGAGTGGGTTAATTTCTGCAACGGGGTTCTGTCACTACCGGATTTAGCTACGGATCCTCGATTCGTGAGTAATTCTCAGCGGACTTTGAACAGAGATGAGCTCAAGACAATCATTCATGGTGTGTTTTCGAAGTTCACGGTGGAAGAAGTCATCACCCGGTTAGATAAGGCGTCAATTGCAAACGCTAGTGTGAATGACATGCAGAATGTATGGGATCACGCTCAACTCAAGGCTCGTGACCGTTGGACAAATGTCCAGACCCCAGTTGGAGCTGTACCGGCTCTCCTGCCTCCTGGGTTCACTGCATCGCTGGAAAAGGGTGGCTTCGGAGCACAGATGGGCTCGATTCCTAGTGTTGGAGAGCACAATGAGGCCATTCTCGCGGAGCTAGGCCTATCTGAATAATGTCATGTATTCTATTCCCATTATCGCAACATTGAAAATTCAAAACGTTCATCATGTCATTAAGTATATGAGAAACCCTAGATATGGATTCACTATAGGAATCGATACAGAAACTCGAGGTTCTGCGGATTAAGATAGTCCGGATTAGACAACGACCCAGCAAGACCCATCACATCGTCACCTTCCATATTGAAAAGCTCATACCAATCCATGTTGATAGCAGCCTCCTCTGCAAGACTATTATTGACGGGCATTTGAGGAGTCGCCAGTACGTTATCTATCGGCTGTGGTGACAACTGTCGAGGCTGGCCGGTAGTAGATGCGAGCGTATCTGTAATATCGCCGTGTAGCTGTGATGTTGATGAAGGCATATTCACATCTGCAAGTCGAAGATCCCGAGCAGTGCGGTCATCCAAGCAACGGAAAAATAGATCCAGCACCCAATTTTCAAGATCCCAGGATTTTTGTAACTCTTTCAGCCCCAGCAGACAGAGTTTCGCTCTGTGCTCGGCTAATTTTCGGGCTGTGCCGGTGACGCGACCGAAATGAATTGTGTGTATACATAGGGCTGAGAATGTGTGAGTGATTCTGCTGGTGTTAGTTTGTGTAGATCGTCGCATTCCTTCGGGCCATTGAGACTTACAAGTGAAGTGACCCGTGTTGAACCAGATTCTCTGAAAGCATGTCTTCTAGTATTCTGGTACTTCTTGTTGCTGCATCCAGTGCCATATTCCCTTCTTGGGTAGTGGTCTGGCTTGGAGGCTGTAAGAAAAGGGGTCTGTAAAGAAGCACGTAGAGATTGCTTATTGAAGTTAGCTGAATTGTCCGCGGCTCTTGGGTGGTTACAATCGTACTTATAGGCCATGTGAAGCATCCCGACGAGGAACATTGCCTCTCTACTCATGGGCATTTGGAATTGCATGTCCTTTGGGAGATTAGACTCCCAATCGACCAGTCTTTGGTGGAGCATTGGTCGTTCTGGATTCTCCAGCTTGGATCGGCCAGGCAAATATTGACTGGACACAACTTCACGTACTAGATTTGATTGATTAGCATCTTTTGAGAATTGCGGACAGAGACTGTGCATACATAGTCTGGCTAATTGAGCCATTCCAATGACATATGAGACGTGAACATCAGGCGGTGCTCTGAATATCTCCGAGGGTCCAATTGGCCCACTTTCCTCAAAGTCGGACGGTTCAAGATCTGCTATTTGGCAATCTTCATCGCGTATTCGAGGTGGCAGTCCTAGCGCTGCTGATGTTTGTTGATCTCGCACCTTCGTACTGTCAACTCACTGCACCATAGTCAAACAACTAGAAGTGGTCTCTCACATATAACGCCCACCAAATTCGTTTCCACACTCTTTGGTCATTGACATTTAGAAAGGACAGCTTGGACCTACAGACGTTAGCCAAGCTCAAGACGCATATCACAGGTGCCCGGGTGGGATCTTGCGTACATAACGTGCATGCCCTTTTTCTGAGCAAGACTGATCGCCGCTCCAAGCCAAAATCGAACATCCCGCTCTTCGGTCGGGCTTCCGCGCCAGAAGCTCAGGAGAAACAATGATTGCAATTTGGTGATCGTGTCGGTCTCCCAGCCAGAATCGTAAATATCTTTTGCTCTTTGGTAAAACACCTCCTTTGCTTGGTATCGATCGCCAAGATTTGTGGTGCTCAAAGCTACATCTGAGCACAGACTCACCCCAATGAACAGCATGGATTGCAAGAGCAACGGAGATAAGTGACCATCTTGGTAGCTACTCTGCAACGTAACGCGATCCAAGATTGGGAAGCATGGATGGAGCCAATCGAAATAAGCTTGAAGAAGGCTATCGCAAATAGCCGGTGACGGGAAGACTAAGGCCCCTTCACGGGTAAGGCGATCATGGAGTAGTTTGCGACGGGGGCCGAGAGTATCCTCGCTATTTTCGGTCGCACCGCTGATCTCTGAAATCGAGTAGTGTAGCCGACCTTTTTGATTGCCGCGTGCATACCCTTTGTCGGGGGAGCGGCGACCCTCGTCCACAACACAGGTAAGGGGGCTCGACTCGCCGAGGAAGACGGTTTTATGAATGGCGTCTTCTGCTGTTGCAAGACGAGTCGGTGGATACCTTGAGCACTGGCCGTTCAATGAAAGCTGCCCCTGTTGCAACGGCGGAGTCTCTGCCGTAACAGAGCTATCAGTTTGCTTGGTGAGTGATCGAGCCGATCCCTTTTTCTTCCGGCGGGGATACCTAGCACATCATGAGAACTATGTTAATGGCCTTACTGAGTAGGTTCAACTCACTTTCCGCGTCGCGAAACTCCTACCTCGCAAGTGAGGTTCCATGATAGACAGTTCTGGCAGGGCTGCATCTCCAAGACATTGCAGCGCACGCGACGCGAGTTGCATGCCAAACACGCTTTCTTTGCGCGCGTGCGTGGGCGCTCCGGGCTTTCGGTTTCCATTTTTGCTGCGTAGAGAGCGAGATAATCGGCTTTTTCAATTGATCACTAGTACAATCGAGCGACTGAGTCGAGATATTTTCCTCTTGTCCTGCTAAGGTGGGGCTCGGCTTCTTCGGCTATATGCTTCGGTCTTTTGCCACTTTACATTTGTCGGACACTTGGCTGGGGTACGGAGCTCACATAGGATTTTGCGTGTCATTTGAATTGCCTGTTGATGGGTTTCACAATCTAACAACTTGTGCGCTCTTTTTCACGCAATAATCCGGGGCCCCGGACATCTGGTGTTGCAGGGGTCAATGAGAGCCCGCCTGAATACATATGTTTTGTGATCATGGATCAACTACTTAGTACTGTATGCTTCATACTTAAGTAATTTCATCGCGGATCTCGTATACACAACAAAAATCTTGCAAGATTAAGCTTGAGAACCCCCCAAAGCCCGACCGTTGAATAGCTATGGCCTTTATGTAGCCGGTAGATATTAACCTTGGCAATCTGGAATTATCGCACTAGGGCAGAGGGTGAAATAAACTTTTAGAACCCTACTGCCCTATAGCCGTGGAGAACTTGCAAGGGTTAGAAACGTTAGAATCTAAAGAACATACAACATCTTCTAAAGTTGTGCCCCGAGGGCTGAAAAATAACAATGTCAAAACGATCTATGGATTTCATCTTCTTTTGTGCCAAGAGCCAATATTGACCAATCACATCAAAGCCTCTAGAGCTGGAGACCGCGATTCGGAGTGCTCGATGGACTTCGACTTGAGCTTTGAGTAGGTAAAACGTTCGAATAAACATCTTCCAATGTTGATCTCCATATTGACTACAGAAAGAACTTTAGAATTGGCTTTGGGTAAACGGTAACCAGGAATAGCGCGGTAAATTTCCCCCCAAACTCCTGAGCCGCGAAGATTACAAATCGAATATTCGTGCTCCGTGGATCCTTCAGTCTTCCGAAACAGCCCTGGAGCAGTTTTGCCACGGGATTTGAACGGGCTGCGGAGCAATTATTTCGCCGGCTGGTGGAAATTCTTCAACAGTGCCTAATTATGCCAATGCATAACATTAAATCCTGCCAGGGGGGCAATTTAGGTGCTGACTGATCCAAAATAAGACTTCAAGGTTTGAACGTGGATCCTGCAAAGGACATCATGCCTGGTATGGGTTCTTGCTCCGAGAATACTGGATCCCAACCCATAAATTTCTGACGGTGAAACCGGGTGGACCTGAATCATGGCAGAGCATAAAAGAAGCTATGCTGCCTCAATTCAACTTCATTGTTCAATATTATAATTAATACTACACCATCAATTGTTTGCGCCATGCCTTCAAGATACCCCAGTGACGATGTTGATGTTTCGCCCCTTGGGGCTCCCATGCAGTTTGAGTTCAGTGGACGCCAGGCTTCAAACCGCTTCCTGAAGGCTGCTCTGTCTGAGAGAATGGCCTCTTGGTCTCCGACCGACCCTTCTGCCCGCGGTATCCCCAGCCAGAAGCTGATCAACCTTTACCGCCGGTGGGGCGAAGGCCAGTTCGGTCTCATCCTCACAGCAAACATTATGATCGCATACGACCAGCTGGAGGCCCCTGGAAATATGATTATCGATCTCGAGAACCCATTCAGCGGCGAGAGATTCGAGGCATTCAAGCAATTGGCCACCGAGGCCAAGAAGCACGGAAGTTTGATCGTCGGACAAGTCAGCCATCCCGGTCGTCAGACTTCCGAGCGGGTGCAGCCCAACCCCGTCTCTGCCAGTGATGTTCAACTGGTGATGGAGCGTTTCGGCAAGTTCGGCAAGCCCCATGCAGCCAGCGAGGATGAGATTAAGGAGATCATTCAGCGTTTTGTCCACGTCGCTGTTTACCTGCAGAAGGCCGGCTATGATGGCATTGAGCTGCACTCCGCCCACGGTTACCTTTTGGCCCAATTCTTGTCCCAGACAACAAACAAGAGAACCGATAAGTACGGCGGCAGCCTGGCTAACCGGGCCCGACTCATCGTTGAAGTTGCCGACGCCATTCGCGCGGCACTCCCAGAGCCCGGCTTCATTATTGGTATTAAGGTCAACTCCGTTGAGTTCCAAGAGCACGGATTCACCCCCGAGGAGTCAAAGGAGCTGTGTGAGATTCTCGACCAGTCCAAGTTTGACTTCGTCGAGCTTTCCGGCGGAACCTATCAGTCTGGTGCTTTCCAACACAAGCGGGAGTCATCGCAGAAGCGCGAGTCCTTCTTCTTGGAATTTGCAGACCTTATTGCCCCCGCTCTCAAGCGCACCCGCAGTTATGTGACCGGAGGATTTTGCACAGCCTCAGGAATGGTCCGAGCACTCGATACCGTCGATGGCGTTGGTCTCGGGCGCTCCATCACTCAGGAGCCTCACTTGCCGAGAGACCTGCTCGCAGGTACCGTCAAGAGCGCTATTCAGCAGAAGATCGATCCCCAGGACTTCTTCAAGACCAGCCCTGCGGCTGGTGCGCACATGTTGCAGATCGCGCACGACCAAGAGCCTATTGACTTGAGTGACGACAAGAACATGGAAGTCTTCCTGAAGACAGTTGGCGAATGGTTCCAGGAAATGCAGAGCGACACCACAGGAACCCTCTGCGAATATCCTCGCTTGCCCACTGGTCAATCATTCCAAAGCCATCTTTGAACATAATTTCATCCATAAATCAAAGCTGAATATGAATACACGTTGACCCCACCTAATAAAAAAAAGTCGTGGAAGATCATCTGCCGCATTTGACGTATGTATGCCTTGGAAGTAATTGCTCAAAATAAATCTAGAGCGTGGTAGACATCTGTTGCTGTGTGGCGAGGGCCCGAGAAATGCATGGCGTGGAATGCAGGGGTTCGACTAACTGCACCACCGTTTCCCAAGAATGCTCGGCCTGGAAAATATTGCCGTGCTATTGGCGAAACAAGGAAAACATTAATTGGCAAGCATTCAAACCTCCTTGTCCGATGAGCTGTTCTTTGGCTCTCAAATACATAGACCTTGCGCAGTCCAACGCGGAGAAAATAACAACCATCTCCTCAATATGCGATTTTCGTCCACCTGTCTCGCAGGACTGGCTTTCAGCCCACTAGCCCTTGCCTTCTGGCCGGCTTCCGACGTGTATAATACCGCGCAATTACCTGAACAGCCATATAACAACGATCAGCCCAACACCAAACTCGAGACTGTCTTCCAATTCCCCAACAATGGCTCATGGATCCACAACCTGGTTGTTCGATCCGATGGAAATCTGCTCTTCACACGACTAGACACCCCTGAAGTTTGGCATCTCAACACAACCAGTGGAAACGCGACTGTCGTGCACTCATTCTCAAACGTGACTAGTTGCTTCGGAATCAGTGAGATCGCAGATGATGTCTTCGGAATTGTTGTTGGAAACTTCTCCCCAACGACATATACGCCTACCGCTGGCTCCTTCTCTGTCCAGAAGCTGGATTTCAACACCAAGAAAGCAGACAGCGAGGAGCGGACTTTGGAAGAGCACACCGTCTCGGAGATCGCAGCAATGCCCGAGGCTCTTGCCCCGAATGGCATCGCTACCTTCTCCCCAGAATCAAACCTTGCTTTGATCGCCGATAGCGTCAAGGGTGTGGTATGGAAGGTCGACATCGAGACCGGCAACTATTCGGTCGCATTAAACGATACCACCATGTTGCCCGCGTCCAACAGCCCCCTGCCCCTCGGTATCAACGCTGTCACCGTTCACGGTGAACACGTCTACTACACCAGTACATCACGCATGGAGTACTGTCGGGTCAAGGTGGACAAGGATGCAAACCCGGTTGGCGATTTCGAAATCATTGCCAGTGGTTTCTTGCCGGATAACGTTGAGCTCACACAGGATGGCACTGCGTACATCCCGACAGACCCTCAGAATGGAGTTGTCCGTATCACCCCTCTCGGGCAGATTGCGCTTGTCGCAGGTGGTCAGGTCTCCTTCGACCTGGCTGGTCCGACATCGGCACGGTTGAGCAAAGACCGGAAAACTCTCTACGTTGGCACGAGTGGTGGTCAAATCGCACCTGTCCTTGGTTCGTTCAAAGAGCCTGCGAAGATTGCGAAAATCACTCTGCAGTAGTGGAGACATGTTAATGTCGCGGAAATGGGAATTTTATATGTTGGCATTATGAACACGAATGATCATTGGAAAAGAGGGGTTCAGCGTACATCGACTTCAGGAGTAAACTAGAGAACACGATTTGGAAGTTGATATCACCAAACTCAACCATGCGTAAGCTCGGTTCTCCGAGAATATGTAAGCGAATCGTCCACCAGACCACCGTCCTTAAGCCGAGAAAATGAGGTGTACAAAGCCCCAGAAGAGGGGATCAGTTTGTTCTCTGCCATGCGATCGAAGGCCAAGAAATGCGCTTTACCGAGCGGGAGCTCCTCTGTAAACCCTATGTTTCGAATCTTATCGAGACACAGTTCCCGATTCCGATCAAGTAAAGTGAACCCAACCTTGCAGAATATCCAAGAAGCAGACGAGAGCTCGCGTCGAACAAGCGAGTACGTTTTGCACATCTGTCTGTAGTCATGTTGATGCTCATTCCACCAAACGTCTATCTCTTCCCACCCGTGGTCTCCAGGGCCGACCCCATTGAGACCAAAGTAGCTCGTCAGGACTGGCCACTTCATCGACCAAGAGCTCGGAGTAGCAAAGTCGGCAATGTTGAATGCTTCCCCATTCGCTTCATGTGGCTTGATGACCGAGAGATATATTTCCGACTTCGAGATCAGATCCTGGGACGACTCTGTCCACGTGTATGTGAAATTCCGTTGAGTTCCTGGGAACTTAACAACAGCGCCAGGACCATTGACGTATCTGTATAAGGAAAGATAGAGTGCCAAAGGTTCCAAAAAGGTCATTCCTGAAACACTTGGGACGTAGCCTGACACAAAAATGAGTCTTCGATCGTGAGCTGGGAGGGATGTACACACCGACAATCTGATCCGGGCGGACTTCACACCACTTCCATGACTTGCCTTGAGCGGCACTGTTTATGAGATCTACTTGCGCGTAATAGAATATCTCGTCACCGTAGGGCGATGGTACGCGGGGATTGTCCTCGCTCAGTGGGGGATTCAGTTGAATGTGATCGATGTATTGGAAACAAGCGACACCGTAATTCTTCAACGGTAAGCGCGTGCATAGGTGTTCTCTCTTTAATGAATAGGCCCACTTACATTGGTACCAGTTTGCAAAACAACAAACTCGAGCTCTGGGCATAGGGCATCTGTTGCATGCACAGCATTGTACGTCATTCCAACATTGATATCTTTGATTTCCATGACCTGGTGAGTATATGCCGTGGCATTGGAATAAGCTATAAGAGTCAGATCTACTAGATGCCGCCGAGATTCGGAAATTCCCTTCACTCACCACAATAGTACATGTGTGTGACCTGTTCCAAGTTGGGGATGCGAGCGCGCATCTGGTGCTTCACATCTTCCAGATCATTTCGCAGGTTGATACCGGAGTAAATTTCCAGCCTCGAATCTTGTGGAAGTCCAATTTCCTGTGCAGTGCGCGGACGATGGGTCAGGCCGATCACACGGCTAAATGTTGTGGCAGTGGGATAGGATAGCAGGTTCTTTGCCACAGCCCATCCGGAAATTCCACTTGCGCCAATGACTAGCGCAGTCTTGCCCTCATCTGCCATTTGGAAAGACTCGGGGAGAGCTGAATAGGATGTGTGAGAGATGGTTAGGTCGCATATTCCCAGAAATTTGTTGATTTGACCATGGATTCGTTTGCTTATAAGTGGCCGGAAAGCCCTATGTTCGTTGTGGTTAGTCTCTCACACACGCACACACAATGATATTTCCCGTCTCTCCAAAATCTGACTCGAGTAGATGCATGAAGGGGGCCAGATCGACCGAACTAGAAAATTATTCGGTTTCAGATGGGGCGGCGTTTCGTCAATGTGAGCGCCGTGAAGTCTTGGCAACGGAATGGCGACAGCTATCATTCCCAAGCTCACTTGGTTGACCCAAATACACTGAATTCAGGATTGTGAAACGGACCATTCAATAGAACCTTATAAGGACTGGAGCCGAGAAGTGTCGTATCTTTTGTCCACCCCGGGGAAGCACAATGGTCTTCCGTGACGGGACAGGTCTGACGCGTGGAGAGCTGCAAGAGCTTTGTTCAATGTCGGCCTGGAGATCAAGTCGCTAAGTACAATGCAGTATCACTTGTAGTTGTGCATTGGATTATCGAGTCGAGAATAGATCATCCCATATGGGCGGGATGTGCGGTTGTCATCCGACGTTCCACTGCGTTGACCACGAGCAGATGAATACTTGGATCTTCGAGTCCGATTGTGAAAGACTCGATTTCATGTTTGTTCCCGATCCAGCTGAAGAACGCCACGAGGCGTTGGTGGAACACGGTTGAGACGAGGAGCCAGTCACCGATGGTAGGAATAAACCCGAGTGAGTGCAACTGGGCGAGACCTGGACTTTTGCTGCCTTGGACCCGGCAGGCTACGCATTCGGAATTCACCACAGAGATCCGGCCTGGGATCTTAAGGTGCGGCTTTGAGTTTCCAATATGCTTTACCAAAGTTGCTTGGTGATGGCTGATCGGTTGGAATTTTTTGGGCTGCGAGCCGCGCAAGAGGCTCATTTCGCTTGTTGGCCTAAGCTTAGAGGCGCTGCTCGGTCTTGGTCCTTACCCCTGATTTCTCTGATCTCCACTGTTCCCCTGAAAGTACGAGTGTGTACTACGAGTAAACATGTTGCGGAAGGCACACTGCCTCGGACTCTTGTTGTTAGTGTTGGAAAAAAAAAAAGAAAGTACGGAGTACTAAAAGCAAAGCGAAAGGAAACCTAATCTTGGGTCTTGTCCCGTCACTTTGCTTGAGCATTTACATATTACTGTACTTTTATTGAATTTCAGTCCACTTTTGAATATTTGTTGTACAGTGGGTATGGGCACTCCGTACGGAGTACGAGTATAGAATGGGGAGAAATAGGCCGATTGCATCACACAGACGGCTGGGCACAGCGTAAGCGCCAAACAAAATCCCAACTGGGCATAGAAAGCCACTAGTGCCCCTAAAAACAGGAACTGTCAAAGAATCTGGTCCCACCCCTGTCAAATTCGATCTATCCAGTAATCCATATGTACTTCATACGAAGTGCGGGTCAACACCCCGGACTACATTCCTAGGCGCAGCTCATCATTAAGCGCTTTCCGATAGCGCCATAGATCCCTGCAAAGAAGATTTGTGTTGTGATTAAGGAATTTCCGCGGGAAATTGAGTATGAATTTGTGGTCACTTTGAACAAAAGTAATCCATATCTTCGCAACATTTGAAGGTGTAAAAATTAAACTTGGAATCTTCGCTTGATGCGATGTATTCTAATCCGCGGTGAAATATCTTGTGGATGTCAGTGAGCAGGAAAGAGAGTGAGGAGGTACGAGTACATAAAAACCATTGCGATCGTGTCTGCTGTTCGACGATCTGTCTCCGGTAGCGTACGTACCCGAGGGACTACTATAGATAATTCTAAAGTTTCTGTCGTTTCATCCTAGCAAGGTTCCCGATCGGAGCTCAACCCCTAATGATCCCAGGAGATTGTTTGCTTTTTCGATGGAGATCAGTTGCCCATGGGGCATTGATTTGCCGCACCCGCGCCAATGGAATCTCCCACGAGAGCGAATCAAGTACCGTGTGGAATATGATAGATCAAAAGCCATTTCAACGCAGTATTTGGAAGTCTTACTAGCCATGAGGAATCAATAGACGAGCAAGGTTCACAACATCCATGTATATCCACAGCGATGAAAGTCAGGGAGGTCGCCAATGCGCCCCGGTTTCCCAAGTTTGGTTCTACACCTGGGCATGCACAAGAGAATGTGCTAGCCCAAATATAAATACACTACCGGGAACCCCCAAATGCAATCCAAGTCACAGGCGTCGAAAGGGAGTGTCCAACTCACACCTTTCCCCCCCATTTATCCGGCTCGGGTTTAACGCAGATACTTAAGTACATTAACCTGTGAGATAAGGTGCAGCCAGCTCATTCGTTTCGCTGGAACTATTGCGGCGGTTCGTCTTCCAAAGCTCAAAACTCCAAACAAAAATTACCAGCTAAACTAAGTTTATGCAGGTATCCAGACCATCACCAACCCGCGCACCAAGACTCGGCGGAAGAGAAGAGATCAGAAAAGAAACAGATCCAAAAACTTCCAACTTGGTCGCTCATTACCTGATCTCACTACTGGTCAGTTTGCGCTTTCTTATCGAGAACCAAAACAAGCTGACAACGTTAAAGTTCATATCACCATGGACTCCATTTCACCAATGTCGCGCATTTATGCACGAGCGGGAATTGAGCCAGGCTCAAGACAAGCGTCAGTATTCGGTGTTGGAATCAGCTTTATTGCCTTTATAAGTATTGTGATGGGCTTGCGGATATATGTCCGTGTGAAGTTGATCCGGGCCGTCGGAGTTGACGATAGTAAGAATTCCTGACATTTTGTTTCTATGTGGTGTGGGATGACGGACAAGCTGACTGGAAATTTACTCTTAGTTTTAATGGCTATTGGCACAGTAAGACCATCATATCCTCGGCATGGAGTACAGGGGAAATACTAACGCTCACGTTGTGTGAAGGTTGCTACATTCGGGCTTTCGATTGCTTCAATGATTGGTGCGATACTTCATTATGCATATTGGAAGGTCAAAGCTAATGATGATCTCAAGCTGCTCACTACGGAACGGGGAAGCATAGTGAGTATTTTCACATTCTATCAAACCATGGGGCATCACCCTAACATCGCTGAATAGTCGGGGATATTCGACCAGAAGACTTTGTCCCAATGATAAAGGTATGCGTTCCAGATGATATTGCAGTCCATAAATAGCTAACGATGCCTGGAGTCAATCTACTCGACACGTCTGCTGTACGTAGTAGCATTGTTTTTCGTGAAGATCTCGCTATTGTGGTTTTATCTACGTCTCGACAAACGGGGCTGCATGAGATGGGCAGTTTACGGCCTCGTATTTGTTGTCACTGGGCTGTCAATCTCTAGCTTCTTCGTGTTGGCCTTTTCCTGCTCTCCGCCATCTAAATTCTGGGACTTGCAAGGAACAGCACCTGGACAGTGCATGGCTCCCGACAAGCAACAAACCTTCTATGAGGTTAACGGAGTCCTCAACATCGTGACGGACATTTGCATCTATCTTACTCCGATTCCCTTGCTATGGCATGTGCAAATCAACTTGGTGTGTGATGATACTACTCGAGAGACTTTTTGACCCCGTGCTGATCATCGAATTGCAGCGCAAGAAGATGGGACTTGTGGTTATCTTTGGACTAGGAGTCCTTTCTATTGCCGGTAAGACTCGTTTGACGATGAGGACTCCCCGACTAACGCCCAAATAGCTGGTTGCGTCCGGTATGACTACGTGCGAATGTTAGCAACAACCTCGGACCAATTTTATGCTTTGGCAGATGCACTGAACTGGTGCAGTATTGAAGCGTATGTGGGTAAGTTGACATATGAGCATACTCCTCTGGTTTACAGAACACTGACATATTACCCCCTTTTCAAGCTATCTTTTGTGGATCTGCACCGGCGCTTTCCGTCATACTGAAGGCATGCATCCCTCGAATCTTTGGCAGTTCCAACGGAGACAAAGGATATCAAACCTCCAGCGCAGAGCGAGGTTTGAGGAAGATCATGACCCGGCCAAGAAATCCCTGGCCGACTCGAGGTGGACCCGACCCAATGGTTTCAGTTGGCAGCTTAGATCATGCTGTTCCCGATGGCACTATTGTCTTGCGCACTGAGGTGCACATGGAGGTAGAGTCTGGAAAGTTGAAGGATGGTCACACCACGGACATGAAAGGGTCACCTTGATATGGGCGTATTTTTTTAACATTCGTTTGGAGGCTTCAGGTATTCTCGTGTGTCAAGAAATCGTTCTCGTTGCTGAGAGATGTTTGCACGGTTTGCATAATTTAGATTCATTTGCACTGTTTGCACCCCGACGCGTGTATAACCCTGTGACGTCACCGCGGGTCAAGCTCCGGGGTAAATGCTGCAGCCTTCAGTGGCATGTCACTTTCCACAATTCACTTCCATTGGCTCACTTTCTTAAACTGGTCCTATTCTCAATATGCCTGGACACTTCGGCCAGAAAGTGCTCAAAACCTTGGGTATTGACAAACACGAGCAGCAAAATCCATCTTCCGACGTTCGGCTTCCAGGTAGAGCAGCTGTCAACAGTGACGAACGTGCCCTCTCCTCAGCTCCCAACAATGGCACATACCCCCGTCTTTGTCGACTCTCGGACGGCTCAATTCTCTCCTCTTTCACTCGCTTCCCCGATGGACAACGATCTCTCCGCGTCGCCAGAAGTACCGACAATGGCCAGAGCTTCGAGGACTTTTCCGAGGTGACTCGAGCTTCAGGGGATGTGGATAATATGTTTTTGTGTGAAGTGGCGCCGGGTACAGTGCTGGCAGCATTCAGAAACCACGACGTAGGTCCGCATGGTCCAACGCACTTCCGCATCACAGTCTGCCGTTCCACGGATGGTGGCCGTGTCTGGCAATATGCCTCGCAAGCAGCCGAGAAGCGCCCGCCTCTAGGAATCTGGGAGCCTTTCATGCGTGTCGGACGTGAAGGAGAGGTGCAACTCTATTTCTCCCAAGAATACGCCCATAACAACCAGTGCACGATGCAAGTCATTTCCCGGGATCATGGAAGTACCTGGTCTTCACCCAAATGTTTGCATGGCATGGAAGATGCTCTTCGGGATGGAATGAGTGGTATCGCGCGCACTTTCGACAACGGCAGGGAGGCTTTACTCATGGTATTTGAAACCACCCGCCACGGTCCATTCAGTGTCGAAGCACTCCTATCATATGACGATGGTCACAACTGGGGTTGGCGCCATGAGGTCTTCCGCCCGAAGCACGGCCACAACGCAGGCTCTCCCCAGATTGCCTCCTTTGCTGATGGTTCACTGGCGGCGATCTTCATGACTGATGAAGACTCAGAGCATGTGCAGTGGGTCAAGAACGCTTCCATCAAGGTGGTGTTTGCGGGTCCTCCCATCGAAGGACGTGTCCAATGGAGCAAGCCTCAGTTTGTGTCTCCAGCCTCGAGTTTCTGGCCGGGAATTTTGGCTCTCGATCATCATACTGTGCTGGCCACGTATGACCGGGGAGGCCCCCTTGCCAAGACTATCACCTGGCATCCACACTAGAGATATCAATCAAGATACGAGGGCGTAGGGCGCCCATGGGCTCAAGAACTGATTTTGTGCCTGAAAGTGCCTAGTTCTCGATCGTGGTAAACACCACTTCATGCCTGGTATTGTAATCTGTATTTAACGATGATTTAACTATCTACTCTGTACTCCGTAACGCCTCAAGATCTTTGCAACTCACGTTTTCAACCTGCGTCCTCTTGTGGTCTGCTTGGCCTGCAATATTTATGCCTTAGGCCGCAACCGGTAGATCACCAGCCGAGATCGACACACCAATCATTCCCCGCCATAAGTACTACCCGGCTCTTTCTGGCCTCCCCCACCCGGAAGCACTCTGTCCTCGATACGGAGTACAAAGGAGTAAGTTGTATGTGCTCCGTAGCAGTGTTTATACGAAATCGGACTCCAGTCTATATGAAAATTTGTACATCGCCACTTCTGTATATTTCTCAAGAGTAATTTCCAGGTCCATAGGACAAATTCCTCATTTCGAGCTGATATTCCTCCGAACTGCGGCATTGAAAGCCTCACGCTACCCACGGAAGCCTCATCGCCCGAGAAGCAAGGGGCTCATTACCCCATTAAAGCTCCGGCTAGATTGATCGGATCGCGTTGATAGATGTGGACATCCGGGTGGCGTTTGGCCCTTACCCGGATGTAAACTATTCCGGCCTCGGCATTTACCCCGATTAGGTATATCTCGGACTTAATTTGATCTGATAAAACTGCCGTGTTAAAAGGCACTGACACCCCGGACATATCTCTCCTGAATATTCTCTTCTCTTCACCATCTAGCATTCAAAATGAACATTCGGAACATCATCGTTGTCGGTGGCTCCTTTGTCGGACGAGTATGTCTATCACCCCAGATTACCTGCAACAGTCACTGATCTCTATACAGACCACAGCACAAGAGCTTGCACGGGTCGTACCGCCAACACACAGAGTAAGCACGAGTACCAAGTAAATTTTGATGGTCAAAGATGCTAATACCTTCCACAGGTCCTTCTCGCTGAGTCTCACAGCCATTTCCACCATCTTTTCACATTCGTATGTTCAAAATACATGTTCCCTCCTCAAGGAAATTCCCAAACTGATGTGTTCCGCAGCCACGATTTGCAATCGTTCCAGGACAGGAGCACAAAGCATTTATTCCATACAGCGGAATTTTCAACTCATCGCCCAACCCCACCGCTCATGGGGTTGTTCAAGCGCGCGTTCTCTCCGTGAAACCAACTCACATCGAGCTAGATCGGGAGTGGAATGGCTCAAAGCAGATTCCATTCGATTATGTCGTCCTTGCTACAGGAACACGACTCTCCAAGCCTGCAGCGATGGAGAATGACGACAAGCCATCCTCAGTCGACTTTCTGCAAAAGCACCAGGCCGGCGTCAAGCAGTCGAAGTCCATTCTCATTGTTGGAGGCGGTGCGGTTGGTGTTCAGATGGCCGCCGACCTTAAAGAATTCTATCCAGAGAAAGAAGTAACCGTTGTTCAATCCCGCGACCGGGTGATGCCCAATTTCCACCCTGGTCTCAATGACTTGATTAAGCGACGATTCGATGAGCTTGGTATTCGGCTCGTCACTGGATCCAGAGTCACTGTTCCACCTGGTGGCTTCCCCAATGATGGAACCACGTTCCAAGTGCAGCTCACAAATGGTACCACCGAGTCTACTGAATTCGTTATCCTGGCTACTGGACAAACGCCAAACAATCAACTTGTCTCTGACCTGAAGCCTTCTCAACCTGATGGAGACTCAATTATTAACCCTGATAACGGATTCATCCGCATTCGCCCAACCATGCAGTTCTTAGATGAGAAGTACTCGAACTTGTTTGCTGTGGGTGATATCGCGGATACTGGTGCACAAAAGGCCGCTAGACCTGGCTCTGCGCAGGCTGCAGTTGTTGCAAAGAATATCATCTCCTTGATTGAAGGTCGCAATGCAGAGGATACATTTATTAAGGGACCTGGGGCTATTCACTTGACTCTTGGCATGGTACGCTGGCTTTGAAAGGGTTCCCCAGACACGAAAATAGGCTAATGTCACTCGCAGAAACAAAATGTGATTTTCCGCAACCCTAACACCGCGGAAGGCCAGACTGAGCCTTGGATCAACCTGAAGGAAGAGTGAGTCTTTGTCACCCCATAATTACATTCATCTCCATGCTAACACATGTAGTGGCCGGGAGGACATGAATGTTGAGGCTATGTGGGAAAGACTCGGCATCACAATCGAGAATCCTCGCCAATATCATCTGTGATCTTAGGTGTTATGTAACACAAGTAATATCAAGTTCGAAACTAAATACTATATCATCATTTCCCATTCTATATATGATCCTACTCAAAGGTAGACATAGTGTTGTGTACTTCTCAAGACAAAGTTTCGTTGTCCTGAAACAACCCTATGGATGAGATGAGTTATATGTAATGGTGAAATAAAGTGAGGATAAACTAAGGATAACTTTGGAAACTGAGGATAAAGTAAGGATAAAGTGAGGACCAAGTAGGAATAAAGTAAGGATGAGGTACATCCTTCTTATTTACTTCCCTCCCCTCTGTTCTTCTTCCTTTCTCCATCTCTTCCAACCTCACAGAACAGCCTTCTGACACTGGTCTCAGCCTTAAAACACTGCCTGTTCCCGTGAGATCCATTCCGTTCTGAATTCCAGCTTTCCCCCTTTTGCCCTCGGGATCCACGAGATCCATTCCTCCTCGATAAGGCTGAGAGTGTGGGCGATGTATGGGAAGCATTCGCCCGTTCCCACTACCATTCCCGGTCTCCACCATTTCCGGGTCAAGGGGCTTATTGGAAAGCGGTGTCTTTTCATTGATGCCGACGGTGTCGCGGAGAAGCCAGAGGGATCCACGTCCTGGCGCAACGATTCCCATATCGATGTTGTGATGACATTGCTCAGCTTCGATTGAGGCCCCCTCAGTCAGACAGTGTTGCTGGCAAGTGTCGCAGAAAACGAAGGCCACGCAGGAAATTTTACTAGCATGAGTGGATTCAACCCGTGCGAGAGTGACAGTGATATCAATGCTTCCATCGGTTCATCTCGGCACTGTATGCGAAGACATGCCCGGCCGGTCGCACCACCCCCGCCGACGTGATGTTGATCTGCCCATACAAGGAGCAGGTGAAACAAGTCGAGCGCTTCGCCAACGAGGGGGTGGAATACGGCTGTTGTGTGACGGTAGACGGCTCTCAAGGCCAAGAGTCGAATGTGGTGATTTTTATGTTCACCAAACCGCGCACTCGGGAGGCGACTGGACTGGGCTTCTTGTGCAGCTTGCCTGCCTGGTAGAATCACTGAAGATGTGGAAACGACGTGCTCGAGACTCCGAGGTGTGGTCGCCTTTTCAGGTTAGATGTACCCAAGATTCAGATACTGGCCGCAAATGCCAGTTCTGCTGGGCCCACTGTCTCACTTGTGCTATGGTGAATATCTTTGATCTACCAGCGGCTAAACGTGGCCATTACGCGCGCCAAGAAGCTGATGATCGTTGTCGTCAATATGGGCATCTGGAACGAGAGGTTTGTCGCGATTGCAAAGTCGCGCAGCACCAGATTCTTAGCTGGCCTTCTCCAGCATGCGGTCGATAAACGTGACATTTTGAGGTGGGAAGGCCCTTCAACTGTCCACAGGCCCTTCGAATATGCCGGGCCCCGCCTCAACTCAGCGCCGCGACTCGCCCAGCCCACCCTCGGACAGTCTCCGCAGCGCCCACAAAGTGGCCCTACCTCCCATCTCGCTTCACGGCCCCCCAAAGCCGCCTCGGGCCCCCGCATAGCTTCATCCCCCCAGAAGAACGCCCGGGTGGCCCGCGAAACGATCTCTCCGCGCAAGAGCGTGAGGCCAATCACGAATGATGACGTGGCTAAGGTCACTTCAAAGCTCAAGGACTCACGTCCGATGCTGAGAAGTAGGCCAGGAAGAGGGATCGGGATCGACGGCGCGCGGAGGCCGAAGCGGTTTCTGCAGCGACTTTGGCAGCGATCGAAGCTGAGGAGAAGCTGTTGGGATCTGCTGAGCGACCCTGATCCGATGTCAGGGCTTGTTTGCTTAGATAGTAGATAGACGTCTCTCTCTCCTCTCTCTCTTTCTTTTCCCCGTCCGTTTTTGATGAGAGAATCGACTTCTACATCATCTTTTGGTGCTTCTGTAGATCGCTTCTCTATCAGAAGCAAGGGGAGTGTTTGCTATGTTTGCATAGTGCTCCCAATTAGGTAGTCAACTCTAGTAGTCTAGCTCTTCTTCCTTCTCTCAACCCAATACACTACGTTCAAGCAGTGCTCTGATCCTAGTAGCCCTTCCCTGCTGAAGAGGGAGTAACGTGTGGACCGCGGGGAGCAGTGGGTAGAAGGAAATAGTGACCCCACTAGGGCTTTCTAGTTTTTATCATCAATTGAACTTAGAAGCATTGGGTGTTGATGAGCGAAAACAGTCTACTTTACGTCACGAAAGAGAAATATCTGAAGGCTCAAGGTGCCCAGGTAGAGGTAGGGTAACAGCCAAGGCCGACGCAATCCGCACGAATTGTGTATATAGCCCCAAGGATCGATGTAACTGTGTATCTTGTACTTCCAGGGCTCTCTCATAGTCGACAGTCCACCTGTAGACGGATTCGGTCACTTGGCGTGAGGCTCACAAGAGGTGAGTCATGGTGGTCTGACAACAGACCTCCTTGCTCGGTCGGGTTTTCCATCTGTCCAATAGAAAGTCGAAATTCCAGATAGAATATAAGCCAAAGGCACAAGCTCAAAGTGAGGCTCTCTGTCTGATATCATAACTCGGGCTATGCAACTTCCACCCGTAAGCGACTCCCTAAAAGGTGGGATAATGCGAGATGGAATGCGCTAGGACGGATCCGAACAAGATCATCATCATCAGTTGTCTTTGATCTAAACACAACCAATGGCACTGCTGGACAAGCGACAAAGTAACTTGGAACGCAAGTTGCAGGCTGTGCCCTGTTGCCCGAGGCTGTGCCGGACGACCTCGTGTTTTCGTGATAGTACTGTACGGAGTAGTCATGGTATAACTTCTATTTAATCCACGACATCCATCGCCTTTCCCAGGAATCTACCATCAGTATTCAAGATATCCAGTGTCATCATATCTTGCTCCTCGTGTCCGCCAAGACAGAATTCCAGAAACCGCAAACCCTAATCTCATCGACCGACACGGACTCTTGCCCCAGTCTACAACACCACCTCTAAAGCCCTCACCAGTGAGTTCTGAATAAACCTTGGAAGCGGATCCGAATTATCACCACTAACAAAACAAAAGGCCTTTAACCAACCAACCTTCTCACCATGTTCCTCGATCTCTTCCGGTCCAAGAAGACCAGAGCCTGGAAGAAGGAAGAACAAGCCCGAGTCATCGAAGAGCAAAAGGAGAACGCCAAGCGCCGACTAGCAGGGACTTCTGCAAAGCCGACTTCTGCATCATGGACCACCTCCCCCTCTACGCCGTCACCGTCGACCCAGGCTGCGACCACCAGCTACAATACCACTTCCACATATGCTGCGACCTATGATTCCGGGTATGGAGGAGGTGGCAGCCACCATCACTCTAGTGGTGGGTGTGGGGGCGGTAGTAGTAGCTCTGGAGGGGGCTCCAGTAGCTCTGATTCTGGCGGCAGTAGCAGCTCCGGGGGCAGTTCTGACTCTGGTGGTGGTGGAAGCTGCTAAACGGGGATTGGGCTCCACGCAACGGGGACAAATGTCTATTCGGGAATTACTTTTGCTTGATGAGATTGGGGATAATCAGAAACCTTTCATATATTTGACAATTTAAGCAAATCGTCTTTCAGTTAACTCATTGCTCTCTTAGATGATTTAGAATTCTAGATCCCCATTTCAGGGTAGACTGACATTTGTAGATAGATGTACGAAGAGGGGTCCCTTCTGGTTCTCCTTCTCTTCCCGACATATTCAATATCATGGTCCTGTAGTGCCTAGGTACTTATAGAATGATTTCGAGATAGACACTGAATAGGAAATGAAAGAGTGACCCTTCGTCCCTTCCAACTCTGGATCCCAGCACCTGCCTTGTTCACATCCAGCCCTATTTACTTCCCCTCTGTTCTTCTTCCTTTCTTTATCTCTTTTCTAGCCTCACAGAACAGCCTTCTGACACTAGTCTCTGCTTTACCACACTACACTGTCTGTTCCCGTGAGCTCCATTGCGTTCTGGATTCCAGCTTTCCTTTTTTCTTTCTCGAGATCTGATCCTCCACAACGTTTAGTCTTCTCTCTTTATTCCTACTAGATCTGTTTCACTACAGGATTCAGTTTTCATTTCTTCATTCTTCTATCAGATCCCTCTCACTTTCAGATTCGGTTTTCCTCTTTTCGGCTTCTTGCCAGATCTATTCCTCCACGAGGTCCATCGGGTGTCGATGGTGATTGCTCCCATGGTTTTATTTCCTTCCCTCAACATTCTCGCTCGCAACAATAGACTCAACTGGATCTTCAACCTGGACTTGCCTCTTTCTTTGGTCAAGGCTTTCTTGTCCTAAATGATCTCAATCTCCGATTGTCGTTCGTTCTCCTTCGGAGTCAGGTTTTGCCGGAGGATATACGCCTATTCGAAACCCAGACCCCGGAAATCTCGCATTCACCCTGAGCGACCAAAACAAAGTCGGGGCTTTCGACCTGGTCCAAGACTTGCATCTGGAGATCTTCAACCTCCGCCCCTGATACTAGAAGTGGGCGTATCAGAAACATACCCCCAACTTCTACAAGATGTGAATTGGTGGTCAGAGAGCGCCCTTTGAAGAATTTGGTGGCAGCGTTGTTGGAGGCCAATAAGCCTGGGCATGAGATCAGTGGTATCTCCAATGCCATTTAAGAGTTCATGCGAAGTGCCGAGGACTTCCACCGGACGCTTATGTGGACGCCTATGACCACAATCCAGATATCCACACAGTCCACGAGGATCGCCCGATGCGCGAATTGAACAAGACCAGGAACTTGATTACCTGGCATGCTGAGAGTTGGACAGTGAAAATCCCGGGCAAAACGGGGTGGACGACGATACGCCGAGTTTGTGCTTGGGAGTAAAGGAGATATCAACTATACTCGTGAAGTCTGGGTATATCTCAATTTGAGTGGAGCAAGGCAATCGAAAATGACACTACATACTCACGCCGAGTCGCTCATGAAAATCATTTTCCACGGCGCGCTTTTGCCAGCCCAATGGTCCAACATAGAAGGAGAACGATACCATGGGTGTGGAGAGACTCGAAGAAGAGTTGGTGAATATATTCAGCGGTGTTTACTTTTTCCAGGTGGAGACTTACTTTATTCTCCTCGTCGGAGCAAAGACGGTATCGGGTGTCAGGGACCGAGAAACTCAAGGTTCTCATAGATCCCATGATCGTACCGATCGCCTTCTTGTGCGGACGCTCCTTGCATTGCTCGTATGGCTCGGGCCCTGAGTTGATAGCCCGTCTCAGCGATTGGTACAAAAAGCATCACGGGGAGAATATCTTGAGAACAATCGTCAGAAGATTGCCCCAAGCCTCTTTCTCCAGGTCGCTCCTAGCTGGCAAGGCGACAGCGATGGGCACAAAATCAGGCAAGATGGTCGGGAAAACCACAGCCAAGTGGTCCGTGGGTTTGATAGTCGCTCCCCAAGAGTTCGCTATCCAAAACCAACGCCGAGGCCGCAAATCGCTTTCTCCCCGGTCCCAAGATGTTCTCTTCCTTTTCTCCTTGCCCTTTCGCTTATCTCTATTACGTATTATATGATTTACAACATGTCTTTCTTTACCTTCCTGTATCCGGAGTTGAAACGCATTGATTATCGTCGAGCACTCGGTGACCTTGCCAATGTCACGACCATCGCGCGATATGTTGAGAATCGGATTGAACGCGCCCAACGTAGGCCGCCCGACCAACCATCCGTTCAAAGGCCGTTACATAGTTAATTTCATTCCTTTGCTTGATTCTGGTAGACTTTGATAACCGATAACCTGATGATAATCTGTATGAGATAGCCGCGGAGTAGAAGATCTATCCTGCAGATACTAGACCGTTCTGTTTGCAACTTTAGAATTATCAAAGTATAAATCTCCTTCCAGACTGCTAGGTGTACGGAAAGCATTCCTCCATCTATTTCAAAGTCTCCGTAATACTTATATATGTTGGACCTGAAAACAGCTTACATTTCACAGAGTTGGATAATCGTTTTCGTAGGAAGGATCTGCGGTCATCAATCCGTAGGTCGCCCTCTAGTTGCACGCTGCCCAATCCCTCTTGTTCCTTTCTAAAGTTGGCGAGATCTGGAGAACTCTGCCATCTACCTGCGAAGCTAGTTGTTGGAGAGAGTACAGAGTAAACAAGATGAAAATATGTTGATTGGAAGTCTGATCTGCACATTTGAAAATATCAAGACAATTCACGTGTTACAACTCGGATTCGCATTCTAAAATTCATCTCTCCGTCTCCAAATGAAGGGGTTCAGGCAATATTCTCAACATGAGATGAGCTGGATCTTTTGACATCTGCGCTCCTGGGTTCAGTCTCAACGGCGTTTTTCATCTCATATTCTGCCGGTGCAGGATCTCCAAAGATCTCTGCAATCTCTTCCAAAGTCTTGCCACTGGTCTCTGGCAGCCAGAAGAAATAAACCACGGCGGCAGCGAGATTGGTCGCAATGAAAAGTGAATAGTATCTCCAGCCGACGTTTTCGAGCGCAGTGGGTGTGATTTGCGACAAAACAATAGCCGAGACGGACTTACAAAACACAGCGAGGCCCATGCCCGTGGCTCGGAGTGCAAATGGAAGAATCTCGGAAGGAACCACCCAGATGGTGGCATTGAAAAAGACCGCATACCCACACGAGTAAAGGAAAATCATTGCAATGGCTGCTCGGGCACCACTAATGTTTGGGGTATCTGAGTCGCCATACTGGGCAGAGAGGGCCATGCAGATTGCGATCATGACAGAGAGAAACAGGGATCCAACCCACAGAGTGCGGCTACGAGGCCATCTGTCTGCCGCAATGAACAGGTAGATCACCTGTCCTATCACGCCCATGATTCCGTACACCCCGCTGATCAACAGCGAGGACTTTCCGGTGAATCCCACGGCGGCATAGAAACTGCTCTGATAATTCTGAATCACGGATGACCCACTGAACTGGCCCATGACGAGAAGGAAACAGGCCATGACTGTGCGATGCAGGTATTGACGAGAAATAAGCTTGGTCAGGGATTCTTTCACCCCAGAGGTCTGTGTCGCTTCTGTTTGAATATGTTCCATGATGTTGTTCAAATCTCGAGCGACTGCATTTGGGTCCCGGTTCAGTTTCATCAAGACCGCATGAGCCTCCTCGTGTCGTTCTTGTCCTATCACTTCTCAAGGTCAGTTGGGGATTGGGCACATGATAATGGGCAATTAATTCACTTACACCAACGTGGACTATAAGGGATGAAACAACAGCCAACTGCGAGCGCAAGAGGTCCCGGAATCTGCATTGCGAGAGGGATACGCCACTGAGCATCACCCTGAGCATATGCACCACCGTATCCGATCCAATTCGCAGCAAAGAACCCTATAGCCATCATCATACCTTGCAGTCCGACAATCTTTCCGCGGTGCTCTGGCGGTGAAATCTCGGCAATGTAGGTGGGAACGACTGCGAGGAGGATACCGCATCCCACGCCAGCGAAGAAACGGCCTGCGATCATCATGCCGGCATTCACGGCTCCGCTTTGCAACGCAGCTCCAACTATTGCTGTGTGTAAGGTTTCAGTATGATTCAAGCTCAATAGAAGCGAATATAGTACCTATAATGGCACTGGCACAGATAGTCCACCGCCGACTATACTTGTTGGCCGAATAGCCCGCACCAAAAGTCCCAATGGCTTGTCCAACATTGTAAAGCGAGACGATGGCACCAGTAAGCCCCGCGTTCACACCAGTTGGACCCAGCATGGCATACTTGAAGGTATCGTGTGCCAGTGTCGTCGCGATGATCCCTGCATGCCCAAGTGCGTTAGCCACTACCGCTTCAATCTCACCTCAATCCGACATACCTGCGTCTACCCCATAAACAAATCCACCTAGTGCCACCACCAGGGCAATGCCAATGAGAGTCGGATTAATCATTTCTTGCTGCTGGACAATTCAACGTCATGAGCCTCCCAACCTCGAGCGGAGCTGGTATTTATATATGCGCAAGGACCCACCGCCGCGCGATGTCCTAAGCCAACAGATTTCTGGGACTTTCGTCTGCCGTCCTATCCTTGATGTCCATTTTGCAGACAAAGGAAACCCCCACGAAGTTGTTGGTGACCCCGCGGGGAAATTCGGATATACCAAGCGCCACAACACATGGACTGGCGGCAACGCACCAATCAGAAGCCGAGAACGCCGCCGCGGGGAGGATCGTCTCGTGAAATTTGCCTCTTTCATTCGCCATGTTTCAACATCTCCAGAGACTGTCTTCTGCAGGACTCGCCAAGTCACAGGAGGAGCTCGGTGTTTCGCGATTTCTCATGCCGGATGGACTTGGCAAAAAGTCCCCAAGGGGATGGTCAAGGCTATAAGTGCAGGGGATGCCTCGCTTTACTTCTATCGACTGACAACTTTGTTGTTTTCCGTCGCTTGTTAGAATGGAAGCATCGCCAGCACTCACGGCTCCCTCTGTCGAGCAACATCCGACAGGGTTTGGAGTGGGAGTTGCCTCTCCGCGCCTGTCATGGCGGTTCCTTACCCCGTCCAACACAAGTGTTCAAGAATGGGAACAAATCGCATACGAAATTGAAATATCCCGTTCCAAATCACTAGTTGAGACACACCGTGTCGATAGTGCAGCCTCTGTCCTTGTCCCTTGGCCAGGCGAGCCACTGAGTTCGCGTGAGCGCGCCCGGGTCCGAGTGCGGGCATTCGGCAAATCTTCGGGTATTCCCCAGAGCGAGCCCACCGACTGGTCGCCATGGACAGAAGTTGAATGTGCACTACTTTCCCGCAGTGATTGGGCGTGCGCGCCGATCGCAAGCCCGAGCTCCAAGGCGCTGGAGGGCCCCATCCGACCCGTCAGATTCCGCAAGGCGTTTCACCTCGACGATGAGCGTGTTGGCCACGCTCGCCTGTACATCACAAGTCTTGGAGTGTACAGGGCTTTCGTGAATGGTCACGAAGTGGGTGATCAATGCATGGCACCGGGCTGGACTAGCTATCGTCACCGCCTCAACTATCAAATATACGATGTTGCCCCTCTTCTCAATGCCAAGGGCCCGAACGTGATTGCAGTCGAGGTCGCGGAAGGCTGGTATGCCACGCGTCTTGGATTCAAGGGAGGAGAGCGCAATCTATATGGAGATCGTCTTGCGGCCCTTGCCCAACTTGAAATTCATGCAACTGAAGATGATTCGCGCTTTGTTGTTGCGACCGACTCGACGTGGACATGCAGCCCGAGTGCGATTGTCAGGAGTGAGATTTACGACGGGGAGATGTATGATGCGCGAGATGAGAATCCCAATTGGAACACACCATCTTTGGAGACGGACACAGTCTCTTGGGTCCCTGTTGACGAATTGCCCTTCCCGTCTGCTCAACTCATTTCCCCTGACGCACCACCTGTCCGCGTCACCGATGAGATCAAACCAGTGGATATATTGCAGTCTCCTTCGGGAAAGACTATCCTTGATTTTGGTCAGAATCTCGTCGGTCGCATTCGCATCCACGTCTTGACAAAGCCCTCAGGCGCCCGGTTGACACTCAAACACGCCGAAGTCCTGGAACACGGTGAGCTCGGAATGCGACCACTTAGGTTCGCAAAGTGCACCGATGAGATCATTTTTGCCGGCAACGAACTATCCAACTGGTCGCCGCAGTATACCTTCCACGGATTCCGATATGTCCAAGTGGACGGATGGAGTGACGAAGATCCACCCGTACTGGAAAGCCTGACAGCATTAGTCCTACACACCGATATGACTCGGACGGGCTGGTTCGAGTGCTCTCATCCGATGGTGAACAAACTTCACGAAAACGCATTATGGAGCATGCGAGGCAACTTCCTCTCCATCCCGAGTGATTGTCCCCAGCGCGATGAAAGACTCGGCTGGACGGGAGATATTCAGATCTTCACTCCGTCTGCCAGCTTCTTGTACAACACCGCTGGAATGCTTGGAGACTGGCTCAAAGATGTGGCAGCAGAGCAACTGCTTGATCGCGATGGTTGCGTCCCTCCCTTTGTCGTCCCCAACGTCATAAGCGAGGCTCTGTGGCCTCATCTGCCACAAGCTATATGGGATGACGTGGTTGTACTTACCCCCTGGGACCTCTATTCCTCCTATGGTGATGTGGATATACTTCGACGACAGTATCCCAGTATGCTAGCGTGGATTGACCGCGGTATCCGAAGAGGTCCCGATGGACTATGGGATCCGACACTGTGGCAGCTGGGCGACTGGTTAGATCCCACAGCTCCTCCAATCGAGCCAGGCGATGCCCGCACAAATGGAACCTTAGTCGCAGACACATATCTTGTCCATGTTACCTCGACAATCGTGAAAATCTGCGACGTCCTTGGACAAGAGGCTGATGCAACCCGTTACCGAGATGACGCGAGACGACTCAAAGCCCAATTCCAACAAAAGTACATCGCCCCCTCCGGTCTATTGGTGGGAGATACACAAACCGCCCTGAGTCTAGCCATCATGTTCGATCTTCACGAAAATCCCGAGCAACTAAAGGCAGCAGGGAACCGGCTCGTTGACCTGGTCCGACTGGCCAAATTCCGAGTTGCCACCGGTTTTGCTGGCACACCAATCATCACACACGCACTTACCAAAACCGGTCATCATCAGGTCGCTTATCGCATGTTGCTGGAGAAGAACAGACCATCCTGGATGTACCCAATCACCATGGGCGCCACGACGATGTGGGAAAGATGGGACAGCATGCTCCCTGATGGATCGATCAATCCCGGCGAAATGACCAGCTTCAATCATTACGCCCTGGGATCAATAATCAACTGGCTTCATTCGACGGTTGCTGGTGTAAGACCTGTCTCGCCAGGATGGAAGGAAATCCTCATTGAGCCAATCCCAGGCGGAACGATTGATTCAGCCAGAGTTGCGTATGAGACACCGTACGGACGACTGGAGTGTCAGTGGAGGGTATTGGTTGATGAGCAGCGGTTCGAGATGGAGCTGCTCATTCCAGTCAACTCCACGGCTCATGTCATACTGCCTGGAGATCGACTCCGAAAGACGGATCGAAGCCATGGGGTGCGGGTTGGATCAGGACGTCATCGTTTCGAGTGCCAGTGGGATGCGAGTGAGTATCAACGTGGGTGGCCGCCACAGGCGATTATTCCTATTATGCGAAAGCCCGGCCCAGATAGTATTGCTTGATTGGGTTTGTTGAGTGTATCGGTGGAATTAGACGATTTTGGCATATATGACCGTACTGCAGCGCCGCAGTGACATTTATTCGGACGTCAAAACAAGCTTTCCCATAACCGTGTGGTCGAAATGAATGGGGTGCTATATCAACCATCAGTGGATGTCAGATCCCGTGGTGTTTGTTGCATGACGCGAGCGAACTAAGCGTATTGCTGTCGTAGAAGCCGAACCTCCAAGGGGAAAGAAAAGAGACATAAGGAAATAGAGAGAGAATAGGGAGGGTAAACAAGGCATCTATGCGAAGTTCGCAGCTATTGTATGCCGTATTTCTGCCTGATTTTACACAGACCATACATTGTACTGTAAAATTATTGTAAAATGTAGGTTAAGTGACAGGATCCACTTGTACCAAATGTAAAAAGCCTGGTTGGCCCAGTGGAAAAGGCGCTGCGGGGGCGGTTCTAAGCCATCCCGGTTCTGAACCGTGGGCCTGCCTTTCGAGAGAACCTGGTGAATCCAGGACTGGGCACTGCTTTTTTTTTTTTTTCTTTTTCTTTTTTGGAAAGATGGCATAGTCTATGTAATGGTAATTCAGGTCTCAGTTCCCTGCCTGCTAGAAGCCATGAAAAGCAAGGAGCAGGAGGTATATGGGGCAACGACCTGGCCGCTCTGCCCTTCGTAATCGTGAATTTTCGCTCAAGCTTCACGAATAGTCAGTTTGTAAATATAGTTTTGTCTAGTCAACAACCAGACAGAGTGCGACATTGAGCTGGGCCCTCGTTCCAAATTGAAAATAATATCACCAGGCGCGTTGATCTTCCCCAGCAAAATAACAGTCCTCGGAATGATGATATCGACTCCTCCAAGCGCAGCAATCAACAAATATCCGCTTCGAATAACAGGGAGAGAGGCAAAGGTAACTGACAGCCGGTTGCATACCGTGTGGGTATCGATGTCAATCGCCCAAAGCCACCCAGTGACACTTGTGTCGGAAAATACCAGCTCATTGGTTTCAGGAACGAAGGCAGGTGCCTCGTGAACATGGGCCGGCTCCCCGATGAAGGACTGTATACGTTCCAGCTTAATCCATTTGAGTCTTTAATTAATTGTGTGACCCATTTAGCTCACATGATCATCCGGGCTTTATATGTATAGGGTCCATTGTAACCATCACGGCTCCCATGGGTCGCCACCGGCCTCGTTTCTGACTCAAGAGGGCCAAGGTAACCAGCCGACCACTTGTTCTGCCCACTTCTCCTCTACGAATAAGCTTTGATTTGAGAACTCATCAAGTATCTCTGGAAACTTTTTCTTTTCTCTCCATATCATCTTTACTTTATTCTTCTCGCCGGTTTTCAGCCTTCAAAACAACAATCGCGTTTAGTCTTTGGCGTGGTTTTTTTCACTTCACTTGTTGCGTTCTTTTCCTCTATACTATATACGATTCATTCACAAAAGGATAGGAGCTTGAAAAATTGAGGAAGCAGCTTTATGATCAGAGACGAGAATCAACGCTTGGGAAATAAGACCAAGAATAGGTGGAAATATCGACCTCCATTCGAATCCATTATTCCTAAGGTCTTTTCCTCAAGGAACAAGAATACCTGGGCCCTGTATTGGTTTTAATCATGTTTTGATAGAACATATGCTTTTTTTTTTTTTGGCTATTCATTATCTGGCTGGGTGGACTGTTTGCTCTTTTTGTTGTATCCATGGATAACCTTGCTTCGCAATTATACTTGCTTCTTGACTCCGAAGCTTTTGTTTCCTAAGGCCTTCTCTTCAGATTTATTTTCTTTGTTGAATCGAAAATCGGTTTAGAACATGATTTTCCAAGTATTGTATGTATAGGGTCTGTTGAAACGGTGACGGTCTCTCATGCTCCCATGGATCACCACCGACCTTGTTTCCGACTTAATAGAGCCAAGGTAGCCACCCGACCACTAGTTCTGCTTCCATTCTAAGCTTTGATTTGATCTTATAATGAGCATTCTCAGAAATATTTTTCTTTGATCTTCACATCAAGTTCTCTCTTCCCTTTACGGCTATTCCCAGTTTTCAAAACAACAATGCGGTTTACTCACTATTGGCGTGCTTTTCATGACCATGTCACTCCTTGCCTTTATGTCTACGCCGCATTCACCTTACTAAAAAGAGGGCGGGAAAACAGGGAACTAAGAAAGGAGCTTTACGATTTGAGACATAGGCTGTCAAATGGGGAATCCTGTGTCGAAGAGAAAAAGAATCAATGATAAGGGAAATTTTCAACATTCATCCAACACCAACATCTCTTTCCCTGAAGGCAAAGAATACATGGAGTGGGAATGATTTCCAACCGGCCGACAAACCCAGCTTGCTTTCAAAGTTGTTATGACGGAATATGTGCCTGTTTTTTGGCCATTGATGGTACAATGGTTTTGCTCGACTGGCTTCTCTCTTTGGCTATATAACCTTGCTGCTAAGGTTGCCCACTATACTTGCTTCTTGCCTCGGTAGATTTTGTCTTCAGAGGCCTTCTCTTCAATGTTATTTTCTTTGAAAACACTACCGTCTTTTCGGGAAAACTACCCCATCCTGCAAAAGTTCTATTTATGAAGATGGGAGAGGGGGGGGGGGGGGGGGGGAAAAAAAAAAAAAAAACAAGAATGAAGGGTTTCTTTTCTTTTTAAAGAAAACAAAGGGAGGGCACTAGTTATGCTCGTGTTTTGCTTTGTGTTGT